ACATATAATTTTATTACATTAATATTATTACATATATCAAAGTTAAACCGTTTTTCATTTTATAATGTAATAAAAAAGACGTTATTAAAATAATGAAAATTTTTTTTTGATTTTATAAACATGAATTTAGGTGGGTTAAAAATTTGTAACTCAAAAAGATATCAATAGAAAAAAAAAAAAATAAAATCTCCCCAACAAATGACCAAATGTAGAAGTTAATTTATCTAACCATATATTTAATTTATTAATATTTGCGTAATGTTGATGTAACATTAGCTTTCTTTTGTTAATGATTACTGATCACTTGATATTTTTCCAAATATTTTTATAAATATTTACTAACCCCAATGTTGTTTGTTGTACACCCACTCCATCCATCACCCAAGTTCAAAAAAAAAAAAAAAAAAGTTACACTACGAACAGTAGAAAAAAAAAAAATATTATTCTTGTTCATTTTTAAGTTCTCCTTAAGTCTTCTATTTCCCCCGAAAAACAAGAAAATATATTCATCATATAACCCGCCACCATCTTATTGATATAATTAATATATATATATATGTATATGTATATGTATAAACATCAATAAATTATTTTTTTTTTTTTTTTTAATATATCTCTTTAAAAAATAATTTTGAATATGCCTTCTAATAATGATAAACTTGCGGTGGATTATGATGAGAATAAGGTTACTGGTGGAGCTAGTAAACCTTTAAAAATTATCGTGCTTTCACCTCCTAATTCTCGAAATGATTCATTAACTCAAAAGGCATCATTATTAACAGAAACTCCAATGATTATTTAATCTGTTAATAAAAGAACTTTAGAGGGTGAGGGTGAAAAAAAACCTGATGATATAGTTGATATAGTAGAACCTACTATTATTAATAATTCAACTATTATTAATAATTCAACTATTGTTAGTAAAGCTCATTCTGACTTGGCTGTTGCAATATCAAATATTACAACTGTTTCAAGAGTTGGCTTAGACATTGCTAGTTTCGTATCACAATTGGCTTTGGGAACTGCCAAAATATCTACTAGTTTAGGTTTAGATATTGCGAGAACTATGACCGGTGTCGTATCTGATAGAATTATACAAGCTACAAAGGATGGAAATGGAGGGTAAATATTTCTTTAATTCTTTATTTTTTATTATTATTATTATTATTATTATTGTTTTTTTTTTTTTTTTTAATGTTTTTTATTGATGTGTTTTTTACTTTTGTTATTGATTTTTCAAAGATTATTTTTTATTACTAGAATAATTGATACCTCAACGACATTATTGCACCGCACACTATCTTTAACTGAACAAATTGCCCTAGCCGGTCTAGAATTCACTTCCGAAACGGTGCAACTTGCTTTAGGAACTGCTTCTGAAAGCATGTATCTAATAGATACTTTATTTGGTACTACTGATGCTGCAAAAGCTTTAGCTGAATTCGTACAACTTGTTAAACGTGAATGGGATTTTAGATATGATGATGATAATAAATTATGTGAGCATGATGATTTCGGTGCTTTTAAAGTTGTAAAAGCTCTTACTGCTTGGACTTGTTTACAATATGTTACAAGTGAATCTTTTGAAAGGGAAACTGGTGGTTGGAAAAAAGTTAAATTGGTGGGTTTATGGGACATTTGTAATGATTGGGTTCATGTAGATCCTGATGATTCTTTATATGATGAAGTTGAAGCTGTTTGTTTTGAAGATGAAGAAGATGAAGTTGTTGTTATAGGTCAAAGTAAACCTAATAATTTAGTTGTTGGTGAATTAACTCCACGTGATGAAATATCGGAATTTAAATTCTCTATAACTGAAGATCAAACTAAAAGATTAAGTGATCTTTTTTTAGAGACTACAAAAAAATATAGTAATCCTTATCTTAGAGAACATGAAACTCAAACTAAAAATGAAAAATTATTTTCACTTTTACATAATCTTAAAAGATATTCTAAATTCTCTTCTTCTGCTTACGATTTTAGAAATGCTATATTTGGTCGAATACCTTTACCTGTTGCTCGTTCAAAAGAAAAAGGTCGTTTACATCGTTTTAATTTTGCTCGTTCTGCTGAATTATCTTCTGATTCTATTGTAGATTCTTCATTTCATAAAATTGTAAAAAATAGTGGTTCTTATCAACCTACTTATTTCTTAATTCGTGATCATTCTACAAGATCAATTATTTTAGCTTTACGTGGAACAATGTCTATTCATGATTTAATTGTAGATTTAACTTGTGAATATGAAGATTTTCAATTTCCTGAAGATATTCAACGTTGTGATTCAACAAAATATCAAATTCATAAAGGAATGTTAAAAGTTGCTAAAGCTATGGCTACTCCTGGACAATCGGGTGTTTTTGAAGCTCTTAAAAGAGAAATGGAAGCTAATGATGGTTATGGTTTGGTTTTAGTTGGACATTCACTTGGTGCTGGTAAATATCTTTTATTATTACTAATTATAATAATTATAATAATAAATAATGATTATAATTATTATTATAATTATATTATATAATGATTATAATTTTTTATTTTTTATTTTTTATTTTATTTTATTAAAAAAAAAAGTAAATAATTATTTATTATAATAATTATTATAATTAATACTTTTATTTTATTTATTATCAAATCATATTAATAATATAATATAAATTATTTATTAAATTTTATATAGGTGTTGCAAGTATATTAGCCCTTCTCTTTGCTTCACCAACAAATTGTATGACTACACGATGGAGTCGTTTACCACTTGGTCGTAATGTTCATGCATACGCATTTGCTACTCCATGTGTAATGTCTGCTGCCCTTTCAAGACGTGTAAAACCATTAGTTACATCTGTAGCATATGGTAATGATGTAGTTTGTCGTTTAAGTCTTGGTCATGTATTAGATTTACGTAATATGGTTAGATTTCTTGGTAAAAATCAATCAAAATCTGGTGAAGCTGGAGAAGAAACTGCAAGTAAAATTATTAAAAAATTTATCGATTATCAAAGTAGAACTTTTGGTGATGATGAACGAGGAAAAGAATCAAAAAAAGAATTTGAAAATTGGTTTAAAAAAGTTAGAAATGATTGTTATGATCATATGCAAAATCCTAAACTTTATCCATCAGGTAATGTTTATTGGATTGTAAATGGTAATAGAGCTCCTTATTGTGAAGATATTGGTCAAGATTATTATGATAATGATGATGAAAATGATGATAAACCTAATAAAGAAGATTTAGAATGTGAAAATTCTTATCTTGATGATAAACCTAATAAACAATACAATATGTTGAATGTTGATGTTGAAAAAATATTTCAGGAAGTTTGGTTTTCTCCACGTATGATGATGGACCATCTTCCTCATATATATGGTTAGTATAAATTTGCCAAATTCCGTAATTAATTTTTTTTTTTTTTTTTTTAATTTAATTTACTAAAAATTCTTATTTTATTTTAATACAGAAAATGTCTTGAAAAGTTTGTAAAAATAATACTTTATAAATATATAGTA